ATTTCAAGGAGATGCGCGTTATTTCAAGGACGCGCATGGGCGTTATTTCGAGGTAAAGGTCTAATTATAAGTAAATATTGACCTCCAAATACTTAATTACAAACATTAGTATATAGGGTGCGCGTTATTTCGAGATGCACATGGGCGTTATTTCAAAACCAACAATGCTATTTTAAGAAAATGCAATTTTTGAAATAACGCTCATGTGCGTTATTTCGAGTAAAACGGTAGTGTTGATTGGTATTGCCCATATTTCCCGAGCTTGGATCAGTTCCCACGCTCACAACGTACGTACGTACGTACGTACATGATTCCATCATATGTATGGATAAATGGCTCCAACTAAATAATGTGTTTATCGCTACACAAATATGGTGATTAATTTGAACGAAGGAATTTCTAAATACATAAACAATATTTTCGCTAGTTTTCATTAAAAATACCTTAACTTGATATGTTTAAATCTCTCTGCTAAGACTTATTGAGAAATAATAATTGTATTATATGATGAAGCTTTATGATATCGTCAAAAATCTTGAGAATAATGCTATTTTGTACGATCTTGTTCTAATAATATCTGTTAAGATCTGTATTGCTAAATTAAGTAATCAAACTGTGCATTTATCGCTACACAAATAAGGTAATATTTTGAGCGAAAGTATTTCTCAATACGTAAACAGTGATATTGATATTTGCAGTTATATAGCAGTTTAGTCTGAGTGGCTTAGCGTTAACCCGGCCGTCAATATCAGCATGTGAAATTGATATTATGAAAATGGCCGGATTCTTTTGGGAGGAAGGGAGGGTTGGTCGCGAATTGTAGTCTGTTGCAGTTGAGTGAGCAATCGTTGGCATAAGGCCCGAAAATCAGAGAGCCAAATTTTTATTTTTAGTTGGATTGATTTCGCGGTCAGGTGATTTTCCGGCGCCATATTAAAAATTTTATTTACGTTTAGGTCAGGTTTTAGGTTAGGGTTTGTAAAATTGCGTAAGGAAAATTTTTTGTTGTGATAAATTTTCTTTACGTTACACCAGCATAGCGGAAGTTTGTTTTGATTGGCTGTTATTAGGATAAAATATGATTGGCGATGATCGTTTTTTTATATAGATTTTTAAAGTACTTTTAATAGTAAAAATCGTTGTGTCATATGAAACTCATAACAACCAACTTGAGTCGTTGGTAGTTTACCTTTAACCCTATTGTGATGAGTTAAAATTGAAAGATTCGCTTCAGCTAGTTTGTTTGTGAGTAAAAGTATTACAAGTAACTCTCGATATAAGAAACCTTCAATATTCGATATAAGAAAGTTCAAGCCAAAACCAGTCTATAATAAATCCACTCGATATAAGAAGGTTATTAATAAACTCTTGATATAAGAAAGATTTGTAAAATTTTTACTATGGACCCAACCACCTTTCTTATATCGAGAGCCACTTGTATTATGTTAAACTATTATTCTAAACTATATTTTAATATTTTTGATTAGTTTATTTAGATACAAGTATACTTTGTGAATATAACATTTATAATACAATAAGTGATAGTAATGGTAGTGTTAGGAATAGTCGCGTACGTAGACATTTATATGTATTTATTGCGAAAAAAATAACAAAACCCTTGTAAAATCCAAATTAAAGTTGCTAATACAAAACTGAATTAGTATACTGCAAATTTATAATGTCTTTAGAGTGTAATGACTAGTTCACGTTATAAATTTTTTTGTCCGGGATTATATCCGGAGTATTATCGCATTTTTCCGGGGCGGGGTATCGTAACAACCAATCAAACCGAACTTCTGCTATGCTCGTTACACCTGATCTCGGTTTTAATTGGCTAACTGACAACGAAAATCAAGTGAACGGAAAATCGATCCTGTGCCTTGGCATTGTTGACGTTGTTACGACCGGTGGGAGAGCTTATATGGTCTTGGACCAATTTAGCTTCGATCGTGAGCAAATAGTGGTTAAGGTTAAATGGTTTAAATCGATAAACTAACACATATAATTACAGGTTAAGGTTTCTCTTTATTAATATAAATCAATACATCGGATTATATAATACTAAATACTATAAAATAATCGTTAATAATCTTCTAACAACCGTTATTCCCTTCATAAACTGAAATCACAACCTTATATATCTTTAATTCGCATGGAGTTTTATTCCCTCGCTGAGGGCTATTATTAGAGATGGGAAAAATGCGCATTTTATAATAACATGAGCATGAATGCGCATTAATGCGCATATTATATAAAATGCGCATGATATCGCATGATATAATTTTTTTGATTTTATATTTTCCCTCCGGAAAATATCGGATATTTGCAAAAAATTTTCCCTGACCCTTCTTATCTTTATTTTCATTCATTTTCTTTTCGGAATTTTTCAAAACTTACACATTCCTATTTCTTAATTTTGCCTGGAATTATACCTGTAGTCGTCTATAATAAAATTTAGACAATGAATTATTTAAAAATATATACTTTGGCCTAAATTAAATATACTTTAATTTTCCTATATAAAATTTAGATGGGATAAAATGCGCGTGATTCCGAATCATGCGCACGCATGAAACCCATCTCTAGTTATTATCCCTCGTTGAGGGTTATTACCTTTCATTCAGGGTTTCAATCCCAACTATGCCACAAACTAACTATACCAAATTAAGAAGTTCATAAAATGAATTAACCCTCGTTCAGGGTTTCATTCATCCAACTATGCCACAAACTATACCAAATTAAGATTAAGAAGTACATTAAATGATGATAGAATAATATGACACTAACTAAAAATAAAAAAATTGGCATAGCGATAACAACGGTGAATACTTTCATTTTATTTTGGTACAGTATGATCAAGTATCCAATCAAAATGAAAGTATTCACCGTCTCTGCTCCGGATCTAACAATGCTATGTATTTTCCAATAGTACCTGGTTAAAGTATTTTGAGCCGCAGATCAAGGACCCGATTTTATTTATAGGATTTATCAGATGACTTTAAAATAATAACGGTTGTGCAACTATATAAAAGCCTATCCACATGTAGTTAAATTTATACCGTGACAGTGTGCTAAATTTTAATTTCTTCAATTTGTTTTACTTAAGATGAGCACTTCAAAAATATATCATTGAAAAAAACATTGATTTTTATGATTATACTCGTTTTGGGATCGTTGAATTAATTAAAAACGAGGGATTTACAAAAGTGTATCGTGCTGTTTTTAAGAATAAAATTACCGTTATATTAAAATCATTCGAAAATAATGATTTAACTATTAATGAAATCACTAATGAGGTAATTTTCTATGTTACATCAAATTATGTTTGTTATTATATTTTAGCATTACAGTATACGTATCATTAATAATTATCATACGTATGTATAACTTAAATTATATCATAAAGTGGGCATACACCCCTACATTATACGTTTTAATGGTTTTACTAGAAAAGAAGGTAGAATAATACATATCTTAGTTTCTTTATTTAATAAACAAATTTTAAGTTAATCATTAAATATATATTTATGTAATTCATATTTATGTAATTCATATGAAGGAGATTCAAGTATTATACCTTATATGTTGATTTTTGAGAATGTCAACGGTGGAACTTTAAGGTCATATTTACATGAAAATTCACAACACATTTCATGGAATGATATGATTAAATTTTCATTGCAAATTGCAAGTGCTGTAAGATATTTACATGCTAAAGGAATATCTAATCTTGGATTGGTAATGTTTAAAATATTATTATACTGTAATTTTGTTCCTTTTTTTTTAATTTGTTACTTAATTAAAATCTCTATTTTCAATAGCGTTCGGACGATATATTTATAAATAATAAAAATATAAAACTTGCAGATTATGGGCTTTCAAATAGGTTAAAGGGACAAATTGTTAAACATAAACATCACAGATTTTATAAAAAGTCTGATGTATATAGTGTTGGCTTCCTTATACAAGAAATATACAACAATAGTCTATTTAATGAAAATGGTGCCCTATAAAAAAATACATTAAGATTTATGAAGGTATAAAAAAATTTTTGACGGATTCATTTTGCATGATATTTTTGTAATTGATCAACGATAAACTGTCTGCAAAATAAACCTAATAGTCGCCCAGAAATTCAGATCATTGTTTCTAATTTAAAAACGTTGATAGTTAATTGTAATCAAAATATAGACAGTCATGAATTAGAAATTACTCGTCCACATAACTCATTTATAATACAAGATTATAATTCTGTACCATTACAAGAATCATCTATGCATATAGATAAAACGTTAAACATAGAACCAAGTCACACATTAAAATCACCTGCGGATTTAAGTAATTTATTAGAAATCGAGCCAAATGATGCAAATGGTTTAAATAGTCGTGGGATAAGACATTATTTCGTTGAAACATCAGCTCAAAATAGCGAAACTCTCATATTATCAAGATAATATAAATACACATGTAAATTCATTTGATATTACATCATCTTCATTCTTTTTATCTGATACAATAAGCTCAAATATTTCAGCACAAGGTATTAGTCTTGATAATATGAGAAGGGAAGCAAATGAGTGTTTGAAGCAAGGCAAATTTCTCAAAGCGTTAGAACTTTGTGAAAAATTAATGAATACTACCAGTATAGCACTGAAGATCAGAAAAGTGCTTCAACCTGGAATCTTTCTTATCAATGTAGATTGAAAAATTTAAACGAGTTAATAAAAGCACTTTGCAGGAACGTTGTACTGACTTCTTTAGATATTAGTTATAATTATCTTGGATCTGAAGGAGAAAAAGCATTAGCAAATGCTCTTTGCAAGAACACCACACTGACTTCTTTGGATCTTGTTACGAATAATCTTGGATCAGAAGGAGGAAAAGCATTAGCAGCTGCACTTTGCAAAAACACCATGCTGACCTCTTTAAATCTTAGTTGGAATAATTTTGAATTAGAAGGTGGAAAAGCGTTAGCAAATGCACTTTGCAAGAATACCATGCTGACTTCTTTGAACCTTGCTGGGAATAATCTTGGATCAGAAGTAGGAAAAGCATTAGCATATGCACTTTACAAGAACACCATGTTGAAAGATTTGAGTCTTCGAAATAATAAACTTGGATCAGAAGGAGGAAAAGCATTAACAGCTGCACTTTGCAAGAACACTACACTGACTTTTTTGGACCTTAGTTTTAATAATCTTGGATCAGAAGGAGGAAAAGCATTAGCAAATGCACTTTGCGAGAACACCACACTAACTTCTTTGAGTCTTGGTAATAATAATCTTGGGTCAGAAGGAGGAAAAGCATTAACAGATGTACTATGCAAGAACATTACACTGGCTTCTTTGGATCTTGATGGTAATAACCTTGGAGCTGAAGAAGGAAAAGCATTGGCAAGTACACTCTGCAAGAACACCATGCTAATTTCTTTGGATCTTATTGGGAATAATCTTGGACCAGAAGGAGGAAAAGCGTTAGCAGATGCGCTTTACAAGAACAAAACACTGTCTTCTTTTTATCTTTGGACTATAATATTGGACCGGAAGGAGGAAAAGCATTAGCAGATTCACTTTGCAAGAACACCACACTGACTTCTTTGAGTCTTACTGATAATAATCTTGGTTCAGAAGGAGGAAAAGCATTAGCAAATGCACTTTGAAAAACGCTACGCTGACTTCTTTGGATCTTTGGAGTAATAATCTTGGATCTGAAGGAAAAAATGCATTGGCAAATGCACTTTGCAAAAACACGCTTAGACCCGATCTGTTACATTTCACCAATTTTAAAACCCTTTAATAAACCCGAGTATAGTACACAGCTGAGAGTATGTCATATAGTGTAAATATTTAAAATGCATACACACTTTGCATTTATAATGAGCAATCTAGATTTTTTAAAAGATCCATATTTTATTAAAGAAGACCCTATGATTTGCACCCAGATACAGTACATAGTGGGTCTACTATCTAGGGGATCTTGTTCCGGCCATTTACGGTGCTTCTTTGAACTTCTATTGAGAGTCAGAGGAGGCAAAAGCATTAGAAAATGCACTACGCAAGAATAATATTCTGAAAATTTTGATCTTATTAGTCATAATGCTAGTAATATGGCGGTGTTTTTGGCTTGAGTCTTAATTTATGGCAATATTTGATATGCTGAATGATTATATTAGAACTATTAACATTGTGAGCCCGAAAACGTGACCTGACCGCAGGCACATGCCCACGTGATACGGGAGTCACAAATTTAGGTTTACCGGGGGAATTCCTGGGATTTCCTGATTTTGCGATAATCCCGGGGGTTCGGAAAATTTAAGGTATCAACTGAATTGGGGCAATAAGAATAATTGCGGTTATCTGGCAGACTCTAATAATAATCATAATAAATACAATTTGGGTTCTATTGATAACTTCAGAGATTTAGATAGTTTTTGAAATGTAGATAATTCCACAAATGTAAATAAACAAATTATCAATTATAAATAAAGGCCTTTTCGGCCCTTGGGAAAAAATAACTCCCACCTTTGCTTTATTAAAACATTTCTATCATACAATTACCTCCCTAAATCATACTATCACTAATAATAAATCCCTACGTTTCATATTTTCGAGTAATTACTATTATTAAGATTATACACTTCTTAAGTTTCGTATATCGGACCTACGCTTGATATATACCTTCATTACGAACCCTATCTAACTATAATAAACCCTGGTTCTGTACTACACTAAATAAACCACTTGTCCAAATCTAATATGCCTCTTTCAACCCTAAAGTAACCTAAGGCTTGGTTACACAGACCTACTTTCAGTTTAGCGACAGACTCGCCGTTTTCAAGTCTGACAACATGTATAAATACTATATGTTGTATTTTTTTATTAAAATATAAGTTTAGTATTTTATAGTTTCTATAAAACTCATGGGTACTGGAAAATAGAAGGTACTGGTTAGTTAGTTATATATAACAAATTTTAATTTATAACATTGGTTTATAATAATCATGAATCAAGAACTGATTTTTTTATAGGAGAATTTCCGGATGAAAAATATTAGAATTAGGGTTAGGGTTAGCTATACTGGTTAGCAGAAGCTATAGTAAAATTAACAGTTGGGAATTTTTTTATTTAATGAATGACTATGTTTACATTACTATAGTAAAATTTTTAGTGATTGTGAGCAAAATTGATTATGGCATATCCAATCAAGATTTCAATGTATTCTGACCCAAAATCTTGGGGTACTAATATCCTATCCATGGCTCCGCCACAGTTCTGAAATAATGCAATGACGCCATTTGTTTACTAGCAATAAAAAATTAGCCTAAACTATCCTATTACCTAACCCTAACACTAACTCTCGAACATTCAATCATGTGATGTAATGATCACGTAAATATCATTACCCAAAAAAAAAATTTACTCATTCCGATGACATAAAGTATGTGGTTAATGTTGAGTTAGTGAATTGAAATTGTATGATTCTACTGAGTTACTGTAACAAAATCTGCTATTTCGGTAATATATAGCTTGTGGTTAAAGTTGATTTAGTTTGTATTAGAATCGTAATTTTTATTGAGTTACTGTAAAAAATTCAGTTATAAATCTTAGTTAAAAGTTAAATTCATATTAGAATTCTATTAAGCATTACAAAACATACCATTTTGGGATTATGCTAATGTAAAAAATTGTTATAGACTTTACTACCCAGAAATCATAATATGTAGTTAAAGAAGAGTTAACTACTGTAAAAAATTTTAACACAAATTGATATTTTAGTACACATAGTATGTAGTTAAGGTTGAGTTATTGTTATGAAGTCTTTATGCTACAGAACACTTGCTATTTTGGAGATTACAGTATGTGGTATAACAAATCATTTTCATTTATTTTATTTTATTTTTTATTTTTTTGTTGTTTTATATTCTTTGTATATAGTTTATTTTACCCCTACCAATTCTATTTTGATAACAATACCCACATAGTGTAATCACAATGGGAATATTTAATTAACACTTTATAATTCTGGGTTGCTATCATGACTAGCCATATATGGTTGTGTAATATTTGCTGAATATTGTATGTAACATGTTTTTCTTCAATCGCTTCATTTTTGGCTGTTGTATCGCTCTTTTATAGGAATCGACATAAAAAATTTCCTCGCAATACCCAAGAAAGGAAATATTCACTCTTGCCATTATCTTATAGGGAATGCCTATTTCCACTATGGTAATTTGCTATTTCCACCATGATCTACACAAGATTTTCTATTTTTTCTATTTTTAGCATTTATATAGTAAAAATTAG